AATGTGTCATAATACAAAAAGGGTTTAAGAAGAAACCAGACCTACATCCAATGCAACCAAATCAAGATTTAACTCCACCATTCCCATCTTCCTATGAAGCTCCATCAAATTTTCAACATCATCTTTAATGGCAGGAGGAACAAATACAGTCGGAGGACTCAAGCTGTACAAGCCACGAGTTGCTACATACATGGGTAGCCCACCCTAATCAATCCAATACTTGTTAAATTTAGTTAATTAAACATCGAAATTAGAAAAATTGAAGAGCTTACAATGTGATCAAGGTGAGCATGAGTAATAAACAAGAAATTCATGGCGACTGCTCTAGCAGGACACCTTCCGATATCAAATGCGCACTTCAATTCAGGAACAATTACACAAGTTTCATGACCTCCGATTGAAAGACCCTCAATTGTGTAACCTTCTAACCCTGTTCCTTTTCGGATAACTTCAGCCCTAGCTTTCCGATACTCTTGTTCTTCGGTTGCGTTTCCAATTGCTGATAAAAACCCGGAATTTTTTAGGGATTTTATGGAATTATCATGGGGTTTTGTTGGGTTTTGATGAATTGTGATAGGAGGGTGTTTGTATGAAGGGGTATGGGAGGTGGAATGGTGGAATGGGGGTAAAGATGGGAAGCTAGGGGTTGTAATTGTCATGGAGAATTGCATTGTTCTTGTGGTGAATCTTTGAAAGAAGGGTTTAAGAAAGGTTTAGGCGGATTTTTGTTGTAATCCGTTTGTTCTTTCGGATCGTGTAATGAATTGATGTTTTTGCAATTTTGCCTATGTTATCCTGTGCTCATTCGTCGTAATTGGACTTTCACCCCCTAAACTATTTGAGGTTAGTAGGTTTAGTCCTTTAGAGTTTCTGTTTGAACCATGGAACACCTTAAGTTGTTAACCCACCAATGACACCCATACAATGTTAGTGATTTTTGGGTATCTAAGTAGTTTAGATAATTGTGACTTATACAAGTAAGAAAGAGAATAAAATTATGCTCAAATACCATTGAAGTACATAGTGATATGAGATAGTTTTTACACATCTAATATTTGTTGATCGACTTAGATGCCTAAATAAATAATTTTTTTTTTGAATATGTTCTGATTGAAATCATGATGTTTTTATTATATCTATGATGAGACTGTAGAATAATGAAAATGATTATTTTACCCTTCTGTTATATTGTTGTGTTGGATAAAATATATATTTTTGATAAATAATCTGAAAAAAGTAGCTAAATACTTAAAAAAAATCCAAATTAAACATAAATAATTTGCATACAAATTTGACTTGAACCATTTGAAAATAATTGATTGGAAATCTAGTCATGTAAAGTAGCCATATATTTATTGCCTTGTGGATCTCATTTTATATCTTGTATGCATTGGCCATCACTTTCTCCACTTTGCAAAGCCTATAAATATTTAATCATGAATATTTCATTTTCTTATAAAGTTATGAACTGCGAAACAATCAATGATCAACGATAAAATTATGTTTTGGCCATCACTTTCAACCCAACCGCATAATTTGATTTTAAATAGTTGTATGGATTATTCATTTGCTTTTGATCGACTACAAAACTGTGTTATCTTTTAGTTTCTACACTGCTACCTTCCATGAGTTTTCTTTCAAGCTACAACCTTCCGGACCATTAGTTGTATTTCGTGTATGCATACTTCAAGAAAAGTTTTGTCCACACATTCTTGATTCCAACTAACTCTAAGCCTCTTTTTTGACATGTCTAGGATAAAATCAATGATAAAAACATAAAGCACTTCAGCATACAAGTTCAAGAAATCAAATTTTAGCATACAAGTTCGTAATTTCAGCATTAAAAGTTCAAGAAATAAGATTTTAGCATACAAGTTCATAATTTCAACATACAAGTTCAAGAAATCAGACTTTAGCATACAAGAAATCAGATTTTAGCATACAATCATATTTTAGCAACGTTTCAAGTTCAAGAAATCATATTTCATAACTTCAGAGGAATTCCAACAATATTTCAAGTCGAGAGGACATAAATGGTTTCAAGGTCATATTAAAGGAAAACGATTTCAGAAGACAAAATCGAATCCAAGTTCATACGAGAAAAAAAAACCCTCAATGAGTCATGACCGAATCAAATCATAGGCATTTGACCCATTAAGTGGTGTAATTTTGGCAAAATAAACTCTATGACTCAGCTGACTCGGACAGAGTCAGACATCTTACTGGACTAAGTAAAAGGCATATGAAACATGGCCTTATTGATTATCACTCACTTATTGTGTACTATTTTGCAACATTAAGAAAAAGGAAAAAAAAAAGAAAAAAAAAGCCAAACATGTATGTACAATTGGTTGAAAATCGTGTATTCATAATTCAAAAGAGTTAAATTCAAGAACAAGGTTAAATCATACATGAGGTCTCAAGAACTATACATATATTATACAACATTGTACAAGATGAATCTCCCTTCATCATCTATGAAGTGTAAACAAGTGTATGGCTAGGATCAAAGGGTTCTTTATAATTGAATTCACTACAGGTTGTGATTCTTGAATCCGAATATCTCAACATTTTGAAGGTTAATCCCACATAATAAAGGCAAAGGAAAGCTTGTTCCAAGGCGTGCATTATGTGTGGTGATGGCATTGGGTCTATTCGCATGATGCAATAACACGACAAGCTGGCTGCTTGGCAGCAGTGCCTAAACGTTAATCAGGGAACACAAATCATCCAAAAATCATAAAAATGGAATTTAATAAAGGTTACGAATTATATAAGCAACAAGTATCCATTTGAGTATTTTTTTTATAAAGTTGAGGGGCAACAAATTTCCAACCGTTTGTGTTTAAAAGATTTTGTTCCAGAACTTTATCCACAACCCATCGCATAAATATAGCCTGAAAAACTGAATTATGTGATTTAAATGAGAGAAAGATGCAAGGCTTTAAGGCCCATTTGTTACTCATAACATGACAAAGCTTTTCGGTTATATCTGGCGTTGAGGATGAGAGAGGCATTCATGTCTTTTCACACATGAATTGTACCATCTTCTTTGAGTGGAACAAAAAGTCACAATTTTATCCCAAAAAATATGGGTTGCAGTTTTGGAATGACATGCCATGACGAGACAAGTTTTCTAGGGATATTTTTTATGATAATGATAAGGAGGGTATTCACGTCTTTTTGCACAAACGAGGTGCCCCATCTTGTTCCATTTTGTCTTAGAAAGTCATTGGGTCTTAGAGAAACATGAGATGACAAGACAAATTTTACATGTTTATTTTTTATGACAAAGATACGGAGGGTATTCACATCTTTTGCACACATGGGTTGTCCCACCTTGATCCATCTTTCTGGACAGGACAAAAAGTTACAACTTTGTCCCCAAAAGTCCGATTCTCAACCCAATGCATGTCAAACACAATATAACTTGTTCTCATCTGTCATATGTAACAAATGGAGATTAAAGAATACGAATAAAAAAAGGATTTGAGGAGTCACATTGTAGTACAAGGAAAACCCCGAGTTGAAAACAACTTCATCTAATGCAATTCCAACCATTTTCTGAGGATCCAAACAATAAACCGGTGGTTGCAACATTTTCCCATATAAATGATTTTCTTTTTTAGAGTCTACAAATAACCCATTTATCCAAAATCCCAAGGAATTGTCACTCAAAAAAGGTTCTTTAACAAATGTAGTATGCAACGAAGCAATATTATCAACCGGAATTAGTTTTTGAAGAGATTGCACTTCAAATCCAAACTTTAAAACTCCCGCCTTTGGTTTATTGATAATTTCTTTCGAGACTTCCGACCTTATTGGTTCTTCAAAAGCATCAACAATCCTAAAAGGTGGTGAAAACTAATTATTAAGATAAATGAAAAATCAATTATGTGGATTTTGAAGTTAAAAAGTTTTCTATTTGACTTACCATACCCTTGAACCTTGATAGAGCCAAGATGCACCTCCATTTAGGTCTATAGAGATATTGTCATATTCCATGAAAAAAAAAAGATTTAAAGATCCTTCTTGATTACGGAAGCTTAGCTTTGTACCCGTTTCCATGCCAATAACATTGGCATGAAAACATTAATATTCATCAAAAACAATAATTTTTACTTTTTTACTTTAGAGTGATAATATGATTATGATTAGTGTTTGGGTAATCTACTTATGTTTATGATTTTTTTTTGAAAAAGTTTTGTGAGGATATAACCTAAGATAGGAGGGTGTGGAGGTTTAAAATCATGATAGTGGAGTATTGAAGGTCTTAGGGTTTTTTTATTTTTTATTATTTTTTTTTCACTTGTACCTTGTGTACAATGTTTAGTTTCCTACTTTTATTCCTTTTTGCTTTAGCTTTATTGAGCTTTATTGATGAACTCACATTTTATATACATCAGCCTGAATAAAAGCAGTGTATTTACCTTTAGAGATACAACTTTCTACATCTTACATTCCCTTGCCCTTATGGGATTAGGCTATTATGTTTGTTTTCTTAAAAAATCATTATTTTCCAAAAATCAACATCATCAAAAATGGTTATTACAACATTAAGTAGTATAAATATACTCAAACACTAAATACATGTTTGACCATGGGATTTTAAGAGCTTTTAGCTCTTAAAAAAATCTCAGATTTAAAGAAACATATTTGTTTGGGAACATAAGCTTAAAGATTTTTATTTTAGAACAAAAAAACTCATAATCCAAAAGTTATTTCAATTAGCATTTAAAGAAAAGCTTCTGCCTATTATAACAAAATTACTATGTTGCCCTAAAAAAACCACATACTTTTTATGTAAATTTAAACCTTTCAAAATCTTACAACAAAGGCTTGCCTAACTCTTGCATCATATTTTATTACAACTGATTAGTCAATATCAGAACAATCAGTTCCATAATTAAATATCCAAACATTAAAACTCCCGCCTTTAGTTTCTTGATAATTTCCTTTGAGACTTCGGACCTTGGTTCTTCAAAAGCATCCACAATCCTAGAAGGTGGTGAAAATTGATTATGGAGATAAATGAAAAATTAATTATGTCAACTTTGAAGTTGAAAACTTTTCTATTTGACTTAACAATATTTCAAGTCGAGAGGACATAAATGGTTTCAAGGTCATAATAAAGAAAACGATTTCAGAAGACAAAATCGAATTCAAGTTCATACAAGAAAAAAAAAACCTCAATCAACAGTCATGTCTGAGCGAATCGAATCATAGACATTTGACCCATTAAATGGTGTAATTTTGGCAAAATAAACTCTGTGACTTGGACAGAGTCAGACATCTTACTGGACTAAGTAAAAGGCATATGAAACATGACTTTATTGATTATCACTCACCTTATTGTGTACGATTTTGCAACATAAAGAAAAAGGAAAAAAAGCCAAACATGTATGTACAATTGGTTGAAAATCATGTATTCATAATTCAAAAGAGTTAAACTCACGAACAACGTCAAATCATAAATGAGGTCTCAACAACTATACATATATTATACAACATTGTACAAGATGAATCTCCCTTCATAATCTACGAAGTGTAAACAAGTGTATGGCTAGGATCAAAAGGTTCTTTATAACTGAAGTCACTACAAATTGTGATTCGTGAATCCTTGAATAATATCTCAGCATTTTGAAGGTTAATCCCACGAAATATAGGCAAAGGAAATCCTGTTCCAAGGCGTGCATTTATGTAAGGCACAAAAACCGTTTCAATAATCGTCCACATCACAGGCTACAAAAAGATCACACAAAAAGTGATTATTATTGAATATAAATATAAATCAAGAAATATAATAAAGAACATATTAAACGAATTACCTGAATTAGAAACATACGCAAGGTTCCAATCTTGCTCCATTTCAATGACATGGTGAAATCATCCAGTTTCAAATGACCAGTGAGGTTATTTTTGGTAATTTGCACCGAACCCACACCCGCCATTTCCTGTAAAAACAAAAAACATAATCCAAAAATTGATAAAGAAACACAAATTATCCAAAAATCATAAAAAAATGGAATTGAATAAAGGTTACCAATGAAATACAAGCAACGGGTATCCTGTCATCTAATTGAAGAACATCAATGATTAAATCAGCATAAACGGTTGCATCGATAATTTGGCTTGATACATGCATAATTGGAGGATCAGAAAGAGAGATTTCCAAGTTCATATCTGCATTTGGGTATTTTTTATAAAGTTGAGGGACTACAAATCTCCATCCAGCTGTGTTTAAAAGATTTTGTTCAGGGACTTTATCCACAATCCATCGCATAAATATAGCCTGAAAATTTAAATTAAATTATGTGATTTTAATGAAAGAAATATTGCAAGGCTTTAAGCCCCATTTGTTACTCATGACATGGACAAAGCTTTTTAGGGCTATATCTGACGATGAGGATGAGGGGGGCGTTCTCGTCTTTTCACACATGAGTTGTATATCTTCTTGAGTGGGACAAAAAGTCAAAAACATTTATCCCAAAAAATTTTGGTCGGAGTCTCGGAATGACATGTCTTGACCAGACGAGTTTTCTAGGACTATTTTTGATGATAAAGATAAGGAGGGTATTTAGGTCTTTTTGAACAAACGAGTTGCCCCACCTTGTTCCATCTTTTTAGGTGGGACAAAAAGTTACAACTTTTGTCCACAAAAGTCTGATTTTCAGTCCAAAGCATGTCAAACACATTATAACCTGTTCTCATCTGTCATACATGTCATACACAGTACAACCTGTTCTCATGTGTCATATGTAACAAATGGGGATTAAAGAATACGAATAAATAAGAGGAATTGAGGAGTCACATTGTAGTACAACGCAAATCCCGAGTTGAAAACCGCTTCATCTAATGCAATTCCAACCATTTTTTGAGGATCCGAACAACAAACCGGTGGTTGCAACTTTTTCCCATATAAATAATTTCCTTTTTTTAAAGTCAACAAATAACCCATTTATCCCAAACCCTAATGAATTGTCACTCAAAAAAGGGTCGTTAACAAATGTAGTATTCAACGAGGCAATATTATCAACCGAAATTAGTTTTGGAAGAGATTGCACAACGGATCCAAGCTTTATGACTCCCGCCTTTAGTTTCTTGATAATTTCCTTTGAGACTTCCGACCTTATTGGTTCTTCAAAAGCATCAACAACCCTAAAAGGTAGTGAAAATTGATTATTGAGATAAATGGAAAATCAATTATGTGAATTTTGAAGTTGAAAAGTTTTCTATTTGACTTAACAATTAACATACCCTTGATAGAGCCACGATGCACCTCCATTTAGGTCTATCGAGATATCGTTCATATGACAATTACATTCCATTACAAAAAGACTTAAAGATCCTTCTTGATTATGTAACCCTAGCTTTATACTCGTTTCCATGCCAATAAACCTTAGCATGAAAACATTAATATTCATCAAAAAACACAATTACATATATGAATTCGAACACATAAAATAAAACCCAGACACCGATTTTCATAGTTGCAAATATAAAAATGAAAATTTCAAGAAAATCTTGAAATGGTAAGTACCTTAACACGAGCAGTTCCACTATCCGAAATCGAAATTGGGCCAACCCAAGTGCCATAAGCATAATGCCATTTCGTACTCAAATCGCACGTAACATCCGACCCGAAAATTGTAACACCCGTGGCATCGGGTTTGATATTCGATAACCCGACATTGACCCGATTAATAGTGATGTCTGAAAGAACGATATGCACTTTACCAATTACAGGGATTCTAACAGTCTTTTCGATTTTGGGTATCCGAGTGGATGTGAGTGTAGGAATCGCTTTCGAAATGAGTAAATTCTTGACGAAATCGAGGCCGTTTTGGGTTATGAGCGATGAGATGAATGATTGATCGGCGGTGGTTGGATGTGGCGGAATAAAGAGAGAGAATATGAGGAGTAGGATATATAGTTGGTGGTGGCATGAAGGAATATAGAGAGAGAGAACTGATCAGGAATCAAGATTTGAGCTCGGGGATGATGATGATTGATCTATTTGTCAGGTGTCTTTTGGAATTGTGTTTGATAAAAGCTTGTTTTTTTCAGAATATGAGGGTTCTTGAGAGTGAGTTGCAAACTTCCTGTTGGATTTACAAACGAAACCTTAGACTTTTGGAATATTAACGATTGGAAGTTGAAAACTTTTTTGTCATTAATCCAAAATCTTTACATAGAAACCATTTTAACATTCGTCAAAAATAAAAAAAGATCCCTTTGCAATATGACAAATGAAACCTTATATGGCCAATTTTAGGTCATTGATGTGGTTTGTTAAGCTAAGGGGCTGTTTGATAGTTGTTGATTGAGTAAGATCTGACTGAGTCAAGGTCTGACTGAGTCTGAAGCTCTGACGGTATCTGTTCTGACTGAAACCATGTTGTTTGATTACACATCTGATTGGTTGTGCTGACCGCTGAAAATGACAATTTTACCCTTATTTTGTTTTGTGTTGAATAAAATATATCTATTTACTAAAACTGATGAATAGTTATACAAAAAGAATTATAAAAATAAATTGTTAAGATCCGGGTCTTTGAGTTGCAATTCAATGTTTATACATATATTGTCCCATTTTTGATTCTTTTAATCAACTCGTGAAAATTTATTCCATATCTTTTTAGAACACATGAGAATTTATAAAAACTAGAAAAACAATCATACAAAAGAAGCAACTATCTAGAACAACACCAAGGTTAGAAGGAGATATACGTGACTCAAGAGCTTTTAAAGCAACAAACTTTGATAACAACCCCTTAAATAACATCCATCATTCCAGCTAGTATACTTTTGAAGGATCTGACATGATATCAACATGACACGAACTTTACTTTGAATCCATTAAAACCCACACCAAACATAATTGAAATAGCAATGAATTTTTCTTAAACAACAACAGAGTTTTCTGAAACAACATCCACCATTCCTCAAATAGTATTACACAGTGTTTTATACAACAATACATATCTACAGTAAAAGACATTATATCCTTATGGAGTAATCTTACAGTTGATCAAACAAGTGAAATCATGTGAAACTAAATATATTAAGTGATTATAGTTTATATTGTTCTTCAACATACCACTCCATAGCCAAACCTGCATCATGCTTTAACCCTGGGATTGCAGTATCTGAAAGAGAAGAAGAACTAGAATTCCCAACTTTTGCGAATCCTGAACTGTTGTGTTGTCAACCGAACTTGTTTGGAATTATATGGTGTGTCGATTAAACCCTAGATTCTTCACACACAAATCGAAATTAGGATTTCCACTGAACATCACAAACACCAAGCTTCAATCAATCCAGAACTCATAAAACATCGAACGCAGAACCTATAAATCAGTGGTGAAAATATTTTTTACGAATCCCAAAAGGCCAGCTAAGATTACCGGTAAAGAAAATCGAATCAAGCTGGAGTTGCAGGAAGAAGGCGGTGGCAGAGGAATGGAAGACGATTGTGTGGCTGGGTGGGGGAAGGGGTGGCTGAGGAAGTCGATGGTCTGCGACTCTGCTGTGGTCGACGGAGCGATTGTGGTCGACGAAGCTGCTCTGATCGACGGCGTTGCTACCTGCGACGACAAAAGAAGTCGACAGACATCGGCAGTTGAAGTCGCCGGACGTTGTCGTTTGGTGGTGGAATCTGGAGTAGTCGGATCAACTGGAGGATGAAGTAGAGGGGACACCAGAAGCGGGAGATGAAAAAAATGGCGTGAACTTGGGTTGAGGCATAAAGGGCAAATGCTTTTATTTTCATCAGTCAGCTATGTTTTTTGCTTACCCAGTAGGAGGCAATTGACCGAGTAAGGGATTGAATTTTTGCAAAACAAACGGTCTGATCCGGATGGAGTCAGACGTTACCTCTTACTGGACTCAGTAAGAGGCAAAACAAACAAGCCCTAAGTTGGACATGTACTATTTCTGAAAATTCAAATGTTCCCTTTTGTATAGACAAAGTCAAAACAAATCCTTGTTCTTCCCTTGTGTAAGTCGCAACCATAAACAATGATGAACAAACACACACACAAACACACTTGCAAATCAATGATGAGAGATAAACAGAGTATTTGGCGTGAATATCCCAATGGATTGTATTGATAAATATATAGATACATGAGGCTACAGATAAGAACTAACAATAGATCCTAAGCTCTAGGATCTAATCTATACAAACGATTCTATCAATAATTGTGAACAAACTTATCATACACGTTTACATTCCCCCTCAATCTTAACTGTAATAAGGTTAAGATTGTATCTTAAACGATTTAACATATCACGTGTAGCCAGCTTTGTGAATCTGTCTGCAAGTTGATCATTAGAAGAAATGAATCGAACATCTAAAGCACCCATTGCCACCTTCTCTCTAACAAAATGGAAATCTACTTCGATATGTTTGGTTCTTGCATGAAAGACCGAATTTGCAGTTAGATATGTAGCTCCCAAGTTGTCACACCAAAGCACAGGAGGTCGTGGCTGATTAATCTGCAATTCCTTGAGTAACGATTGTATCCTAGTTGCCTCTGTCGTACCATTAGCTAAAGCCTTGTACTCCGCCTCTGTGCTGGACCTAAAAACAGTAGGTTGCTTTCTTGAGCTCCATGAAATCAGATTAGGACCTAAGAAAATAGCAAAACCTCTAGTTGACCTTCGATAGTCTAAACAACCTGCCCAATCAGCATCTGTAGATACACTTGATGGGTTTGAGCCATAAGAAGTTTCCTATGTGCACATGCAAACCGTAATGCTTGGATCTAGGTTTCTCTAATTGAACATGCAATGTATCCAAGGCTTACAATCCTAGATCTAGTGAATACAATTGAAACATAACATATGAAATCAGATCTAGATGAATACCTTTTGATTGCTTGCTTGAATATTCTTGTTCTTGGAGCTTAGAGTCACAATTGTCACTCCTCTAATGGCTTACAAACACCAACTAGCAAGAGGTTGATTTGGAGAGAGGAGAGAGGTGTATAAATCGGCTCTAGGGTTCCCAAGGAAGCAAGGTGGCCCATTTCTCTAACCCATGGGGTCTATTTATACTGTGATCTTCTAGGGTTTCAGCCAAAACCCTAATGGACAACTTAATCACCAAGCAGCCCATGGAACCTTCTGGATTAGGGCCCTTTGGACGAAATCTAGATGGGATCCTCCCATAATTTCGTCCATCCCTTGCTCCATAGGGTTTCCTAGCCCAAAATACAACTATCACACATTTGACAGTTTAAGCCCCTTTATTCAATTAACCTCTTTTAGTCATCTAATTAATTCTTAATTAATCTATGACTAATATTAATCAAATAATATTATTATTCCTTTAATATATTATTCTCATAATATATTAATATAATAATATCTTCTCTCTCTTCATAAATCACCCTGTTAAGTTGCTATGGTGAAGGCAACCCAAAAGGACCATGCACAACCGGGTCAAGTACTTACCAAATATAGTTACGGGCTTAGACACTAATCCAACAGTCTCCCACTTGGATAAGTCTAGTAACTATAAATGCAACCACAATCCGATTAGCAATCGTAGCTCTCAAAAACGCTGTCAAACTCTGATCTTATCAGTAACCTGTCCTTCATATAAGGGATCGTATAATCCTCTGTTCTAGATATCGTGCAGACAGTCACATGGAACATGGTCATACTTATTGTCCTGCAATCGGTTTCTCGATCTCAGATTCATTTGACATAGAACTTAATTGAACACATCAATTCAGTCCTGACCGGGCCCGACACATAAGTCAAATCAAATCATCGAGGGGCCCTGATATCGCTTTTACCCTCTTAGGATAAAAGGAACAGATAAACTTCGACTTATATGCATCTATTATCCATTAATCAAATTTATACACAACAATGCGTTTTATAACATCAAGTTACTGATGCGTTTACGCATTATCAATGCACAACCATTTAACAAACAATAAATCATATATCTAGGTTTTAAGACCATATGATATTACCATCTTGCGATCACTCGTGATAAATTCCATGAAGTGATTCCAGCAAGTGTGGGTTTATTCCAATGCTCAAAACAAGTTCATAAGCACTCATGAACGTTGCAACAAACTTTTGCTATGTCTAATACACTTTAGACAATCTACACACCAATTCATGACATTCTTCATTCATATCTACTTCCAACATATGAATGACTGTGGACCGTTTGAATAATTCGATTATTATCAAATAATTCAATTATTCAGGAAGTCAAAACATGCAAAATGAAACAATAGGTAAAAGATTAACATAAGACAGTAACATTACTAATAAATAATACTCTTTTATTTAATCATCAAATGTTAATAACAACTTATCTATTACACGTTTCCAAACTATCTAATCTAAACTAATATCGTCCTTCAGCCC